AAACAGAGCTACCATGAAATAAAGCCAAATCCTTGCTCCCAACACCATTCACCAAGCCACAAATTAAAGTCCCTAATACGCATCCGCCTGTCGTTCTGAGTGTTATGCACAGGCAGAACTTCAGAGAATGACAGTGTGGAAGCAACCTGCCGTATATCATTGGCAAAAACACTAAAAACTTCCTTAACCTCTGAAACCTTATTGCAAGCCAAGTCATTTTGTCCCTAGATGGACAAGTACATCCAATTCCCCTTCCTGCTTTGCTTGCTTAACAATATTACAGATTCGTCTCCTGTCTCTGTGAGCAGTAGCTCTGGGAAGACACCTCACAAGACCACCATTGTCCATCTCCACACATAACACTAATGGAATCCACCATTCTTAGTGCCTCTCTCCACAGCACCACACTAGCCTCAGAGCCTCTCTCACAACACCACTAGCCTCGGTGCACTCTCTCCACAACACCATTACACTCTGAAAGTGCAGAAAATGAATTATGAAGGCAACAGACTGTGCAAAATGCCTTTATCCACAACTCTAAGTCTACCAGATCCTACAGTAATCCATCTACCTTTCCTAGCAGCATCTCTCTGCGGCAGTGGCTTTGCAGCAGTTCAGTCTGAGTTTCTACACCAGATAATTTACAAATCTCAGACTTCAAAAATACAATCTCCTGCCGCAAGATAGAGAACTGTCTACAGATAAGACAACAACCAAATCTCCAAAAAGTGGAACGTGAAACAAATGCATAGCAATTGTTACACTGAACTAAGCCTGCCATTCCAATTATGAGAATAATTTAAATCTAACAAATCTTAACTTTTTTCTTTTTTTTTTTATCCACCTGAATACCTCAGATTACCTCCAGGTTATCTCCAGAATATCTCCAACTAGACACTTAGAAACAGCACTTGGAAGTAGCACCAAGCTATATTAGACAAGCTAATGAGACCAAGCCTTATATAACTCCTTAAATCACCGCCCACTAGGAATGTTTAACACCTGGGTAGGCCTCTGCTTATTTGCAAACAATAGCTAATTAACCGGCAATCAACAGCAAGTAACTAGCTTAATCAAATCAAATGCCTTATAATTACCAACAGGAATTCAAACCTTGGCTAATCAGTAACCTTTTCCTACAGATGAATCTTACCTGTAACAGTAGAAAAGAAAGCTCTTAGCACAACTCTTAGACAGTTGAAGCTTCTGTAAACCTCTCCAGAATATCTCCAACTGAACATAGAAACAGCACTTGGAAGTAGCACCAAGCCTTATTAGACAAGCTAATGACACCAAGCCTTATAACTCCTTAAATCACAGCCCACTGAATGTTTAACACCTGGGTAGGCCTCTTGCTTATTTGCAAACAGCAGCTAATTAACCAGCAATCAACAACAAGTAACTAGCTTAATCAAATCAAATGCCTTATAATTACCAACAGGAATTCAAACCTTGGGCAATCAGTAACCTTTTCCTACAGATGAATCTTACCTGTAACAGTAGAAAAGAAAGCTCTTAGCACAACTCTTAGACAGTTGAAGCTTCTGTAAAACTCTCCAGAATATCTCCAACTAGACACTTAGAAACAGCACTTGGAAGTAGCACCAAGCTATATTAGACAAGCTAATGAGACCAAGCCTTATATAACTCCTTAAATCACCGCCCACTAGGAATGTTTAACACCTGGGTAGGCCTCTGCTTATTTGCAAACAATAGCTAATTAACCAGCAATCAACAGCAAGTAACTAGCTTAATCAAATCAAATGCCTTATAATTACCAACAGGAATTCAAACCTTGGCAATCAGTAACCTTTTCCTACAGATGAATCTTACCTGTAACAGTAGAAAAGAAAGCTCTTAGCACAACTCTTAGACAGTTGAAGCTTCTGTAAAACTCTCCAGAATATCTCCAACTAGACACTTAGAAACAGCACTTGGAAGTAGCAAGTTATGCCATTATGTCTCCCTGCAAATTGGCAGATAAAGGGTACATCTTCTATATTCTTCTTATTCTTTTTTGGACCATTGTATTCCAAAAGAGACTTCCTATCTATCTGTTGTACCTCTTCTAGTGTCTTATTTAAATCTTTACCTTCATAATCTTTACCTTCATAACCTCTAGCTTTAAAATCTTCTATTATCTTCTGGCCCTGGTCCAAGAATGTCTCTTTGTCCGTACAATTTCTTCGAATACGGATCACTTGACTTTTCGGTACATTCTTGAGCCAGGGACTGTAATGACAACTCGACAACTCTATATAGCTGTTCACATCGACAGCTTTAAAAAAAGTCTTGGTTTTAATCATCTCATCCTCCATAAAAATCGAAAGATCAAGGAAATCTACTTTGGATCTACTATAATTAAAAACTAGGGATACTCCCCAATCATTTGAATTAACTTCTTTAATAAATACTTCTAAAAGTTCTTCATCTCCTTTCCATATAAAAAAACAGATCATCTATGTAACGCTTATACAACACCAGGTTCTTCCCCCAGCTACCGTTCATATCCACAAATTGATTTTCCCATAATGCCATAAATAGATTGGCGTAGCTGGGGGCGAACCTGGTGCCCATAGCACTACCACACAACTGCAGATAAAAATTATCCAAGTACCAAAAATAATTGTTGTGCAAAATTAGCTCAATGGCTTCCAAAACAAAGCCTATTTGTTCTTCTGGGTACTTGGAATGATGTTTCATAAAAAATTCCACTGCCTTCAAACCTAAATCGTATCTAATAATGGTGTACAGGGAAGAAACATCCGCCGTAACTAGAACATAGTCTTTTTCCCATAGAACATTTTCCAAAATTTTTAATAAATTAGTTGTATCCTTCAAATATGAAGGACGTTCCTGTACTATCGGTTGTAATATTTTGTCCACATATTGGGATACCTTACTTGATATCGAGTCAATGTCCGATATTATCGGTCTACCCGGAGGTCTCTCTGAATTTTTGTGTACCTTCGGTAAAAAGTAAAAAATAGGTGTTCTGGGATTTAAAATTTCTAAGTATTTTTTCTCATTTTTATTCAGGACTCCTGTGAGTACACCCCTATCTATTAATTTTCTAAACTTAATTTTCATCTCTTTTATAGGATTGGCCGGGAGTATTTTATAGGTATTACTATCGCCTAATAATCTTTGGGCTTCTTCTTTATAATATATACTACTCATAATTACAATACCCCCCCTTTATCTGCTGGTTTTACTACAATATCGGGGTCCTCCCTCAAATCTCGCAGAGCCTTCACTTCCAGTTTTGTCAAATTCTGTTCAAAATTTTTTAATGGTTTAATTTTATTCACTTCGTGTTGTACCATCTGTTCGAAGGTTATCATTTCCCCTGACATCTGCCATTTAGGAAAAAATGTAGATCTATCTTTAAGATCTGTGTGGATAATATCATCTCTTATATCTGTTGTATGGTCAATAGGGTTCTGCATATTCTCTTTCTCCTTAAGAAAATGTTTTTTTAAACATAATCTTCTATTAAATTTTTTTAAATCAATAAAAAATTCAAAAGCATTAAAATCTTTAGTAGGTGCATATTTAAGACCTTTATTCAATAAGGTAATATGATCTATTGTCAAAACCTTATTGGATAAATTAAAAATCCCTATGGGTTCAACGTTCTCGTACGTTTTTCTCTTTCTTTGTATTCTCCACCTTCCCCTATTGCCTCTACTGGTCGCCTTCTCTTTGATTGAATTGCAAAAGGGGAGTTTTTTCGAAATTTATCTTTCTCTAAAAAAGGGACCTCTTTATTCCTCAAATTGAGAGGTTCAAAACGGTTCTGAAAATTAAAATTCCTATGTGTATTGTCTGATTGGGATTGTCTTCTAAATGATTTTTTAAAAGTCTTTTTAGGGAATCGCCATTCATTGTTCTCATTCTTATCTCTATTGCTATACTGATTCCTATCTTGGAATGTATCGTCCTGTTCTTTCCAATTTCTCCCCAAATCTCTATTCCTTTTAGGGCCATAGTGATACCCTTGCTGATTTTTCATCCGCATCCGTATTCGAAGAAATTGTACGGACAAAGAGACATTCTTGGACCAGGGCCAGAAGATAATAGATTTTAAAGCTAGAGGTTATGAAGGTAAAGATTATGAAGGTAAAGATTTAAATAAGACACTAGAAGAGGTACAACAGATAGATAGGAAGTCTCTTTTGGAATACAATGGTCCAAAAAAGAATAAGAAGAATATAGAAGATGTACCCTTTATCTGCCAATTTGCAGGGAGACATAATGGCAGATTGAGGAGCATCATTAATAAGAATTGGCATTTTTTATTAAAAGATCCGGCACTACATAATCTTTTACCTACTCAACCAAAAATTGTCCATAGAGGAGTTCCAAACGTTAAAAATATTTTGACGTTTAAACAAGATAAAAATGACAATAAAACCTTAGGGTCGTTAGAAAAACACGTAGGGTTAAAGAAAGGCTTTTATAATTGTGGGACATGCAATGCGTGTAAAGCCACAGGCTCTCATAGAAATTTTAGAGATCAATTTATGTCACCGACTAAAACCTATATGATAAAGGAATGTATAACCTGCCACACTAGTAATGTAATCTATATGCTTGTCTGCCCCTGCGGATTAAGCTATATAGGTCGCACTACACGCCAGTTACATACTAGAGTAGGGGAGCACGTATATAATATCCGTAAGGGTTTTGCATTGCATCAGGTATCTTTACATTTTAAAGAACATCACAAGAGTGACCCATCTGGTCTATCATTCGTTGGAATACAGAAAGCACTTTTTAATTGGAGAGGTGAAGACCGTACGAAAAAATTGGGCCAAATGGAAATGAGATGGATTTTTGAACTCAATACTCTCATTCCTTTTGGCCTTAATAATGATTTTGAGTTGTGCCATTTCTTATAAATATTTTTACATTATTATATATTTTTAGATATATTTTCATATATATTTTTTAGGTGACTGTATGAATAATTTTTAATTTTTAATTAAAACTATATATATGATCTGCACTTTATAGCAAATGGTTCTGAATTTTGAATATAGCACTTTAAATTGGTTTGGGGCACTTTAAATATGGGCACTTCTTTGGAGAAGGCAACACCTTTTTAAAAAGGGACAAATGGTTAAAAGCTAAAATTGATAAAGAAAAGTTTAAAAGTTTGATGAAAATTTATATTTATATTTGTATTAATTTCCTGTTACCAATTTTCTTTCTTCTCTTAAAACTAGGTATGGTGGAATAAGATTGAGAAATGTTTGTCAATAATATATTTAATGTTTAAATGTCCCTATGATATTTGCAATAAATATGTTTATTCAGTATAGGTAATTATAGAGTTAAGCAGAGACTGCATGGTTTTAACACACCTGTATAAGAGACACTATTATTAGGGATCCAATAGGAAGCGAAAGGATCGTTTTAAATAGTGGACTAGTGAGACAAGTCAGCATCACTGCTTTGTGTCCTGAGGAAGCTTCGGCGAAACGCGTAGACGACGCAGTGACGCACGCCTGTTACGGAGTGACGCAAAAGGGGCGGAGCACCCGGGAAGCTCAGAGAACCCCAGACCGGCACCCAGGATTTTTCAGCGGCCCGCTTTCTCTACGATATCCGTGGAGGAGACAAGAGAGAAGCCGGCTGCCTGTCAACCTTGTGCCTGAACTAAGGCAACTATACAGCGTTAGTGAGTAGCAGCTGGGACTGCATACACTCACTTATTTCTATCCTGTAAGAGGCTCATTGTTTATTTCATTTAATCCATGTATTTTTATTTATGTATTTTATACAAGATTGATTTTGATTTATTACTTTTATTGCTAGGAGTGTTTTATGTCTAGTGAAACGATTAATAAATATTTGCAATTTATCATAACTGTACTTCACTATTATATGCATTTTATCTTTTTTATATCCATCTGAGTTGAAGCTGTGCAAAGGATTCCATGGAAATGTGGATTTGATTTTGCGCTCCACCTATATAAGTATTTTGTATGTAGAAGAGGATAAAGGTCAGGCTGACTGCCTCAATGAATATTTTTGTTCTGCATTTACAGAAGAAAATGAAGGAAAGGGACCTCAGTTGAGAAAAAGGATAAATGAGTCATTTATTATACGTGAGTTTACAGAGGAAGAGGTTCTATTTCAACTGTCAAAAGTAAAGACAAATAAGTCAATGGGACCTGATGGAATACACCCAAAGCTATTAAAAGAGCTTAGTGGTGTACTAGCAAAACCATTAACAGATTTATTTAACCAATCATTGTTAACAGGAGTAGTCCCAGAAGATTGGAAGTTAGCGAATGTTGTGCCCATTTACAAGAAAGGTAATAGGGAGGAGTCGGGCAACTATAGGCCAGTAAGCCTTACTTCAGTAGTGGGGAAAGTGATGGAAACCATGTTAAAGGATAGGATTGTTGAACATCTAAAACACATGGATTTCAAGATCAGAGACAACATGGGTTTACTTCAGGGAGATCATGCCAAACTAATCTTATTGATTTTTTTGATTGGGTAACTAAAATTATAGATCATGGTGGTGCAGTAGACATTGCTTACCTAGATTTCAGTAAGGCTTTTGACACTGTTGCACATAGAAGGCTTATCAATAAACTGCAATCTTTAAGTTTGGATTCCAATATTGTTGAATGGGTAAGGCAGTGGCTGAGTGACAGGCAACAGAGGGTTGTAGTTAATGGAATATATTCGAAGCTTGGACTTGTCACCAGTGGGGTACCTCAGGGATCTGTACTTGGACCCATTCTCTTTAATATTTTTATTAGTGATATTGCAGAAGTTCTTGATGGTAAGGTATGTCTTTTTGCTGATGATACTAAGATATGTAACAGGGTTGATGTTCCAGGAGGGATAAGCCAAATGACAAATGATTTAGGTAAACTAGAAAAATGGTCAGAATTGTGGCAACTGACATTTAATGTGGATAAGTGCTAGATAATGCATCTTGGACGTAAAAACCCAAGGGCAGAGTACAGAATATTTGATAGAGTTCTAACCTCAACATATGAGGAAAGGGATTTAGGGGTGATTATTTCTGATGACTTAAAGGTAGGCAGACAATGTAATAGAGCAGCAGGAAATGCTAGCAGAATGCTTGGTTGTATAGGGAGAGGTATTAGCAGTAGAAAGAGGGAAGTGCTCATGCCATTGTACAGAACACTGGTGAGACCTCACTTGGAGTATTGTACACAGTACTGGAGACCGTATCTTCAGAAGGATATTGATA